CGACGGCGCTTGGTTGGAAAGCAGCCTGCTTCGTCTGTTGCAGAGCCCGTGATAACCCCCGCCTCCACTCACCAGGAGAGGACCCTTGTGAAAACCAGTGTGCGAGATGCTTGGGTTGCCGCCGAGATGAGGGCCAGAGGGCTTTCGGGCCACCAAGCCCGCCAGAGGCTTCGCAGTGAGTGGACCACAGTTCCTCTCGATGTACGAGCGCGGCAGATGTCGACAATGACCTTTCCCAGCGAGCTGGCCGATGCGGCCACTAGTGTTGAGAGAGGTTGGCAAACCTTGCAGCAGCCAGTGGTACTGGGTGAGCCGTGCGTGACGCGCTTTCGGGGGAATGGCACCATGTTTCGTTGGTCGGGAAGCTGGTCCAGGATTTCAGATGTTGGCGCCGCCGCCTCCATTGAGGAGCTGTGCGTCACTCTACGGCAACACCCTAGTGTTGGTTCTTTGTGGCAGAGCTTCTTGGATTTTTTCCAGGGCGTGCAGAAGAAGTTTCGTCTGGATCGCTGGACAGTGGCTCTTGAGCTTCACTGCGAGGTGACAGCCCGCACTGGCGTTCCATCAGTCCACATTCATTGCATGTTTGATTCTGCAAAGTCTGTGAGCCTGGCTGCTTCGGACTTGCGGTTTAGAGATGCCCACCCGTACGCTTCTGTGGATGCGCCACGGGCGCGGGGTCGCAGCACTCGTCGCAGCTATGATCAGGGACACTACTATCTCCAGGTGCCCAAGGTGGGCGGAGTGTGCATGCAAACTAACTATCGCGCCTTCAACTCGTATCCTATTAGTCCAGATTGGGTGACCAACTTGTGGCAGACCAACAAAATAAGCACCACAGCTGCTCGCGATGAATATGTCAAGTGCAGAAAGCACGTGAAGGCCTATTTAGACAATCTGGCATTTTGCAGCCAATGCGAGCGTGACCAGGCAATTGTGGAGAAGAAGCATGCCGTCGAGCAGGCTTTATTGCCGCTGCAAAAGAAAGCTGCACGCATCGAAATCGTGGAGGCGGAGTTTCTGCCACAGTATGAGAAGCCCATGTTCCGACGGCGATTCCTTGTTTTGACCGGGGCCTCATGCCTCGGCAAAACAATTTTTGGATGTTCACTTTCTGGCCCTGGAAAGACGCTGGTTGTCGATTGTGGCTCCGCGGACCAACCAGACCTTCGACCTTTCAATCCTTTGGTGCATGAGACGATCATATTCGACGAGTGCAGAGCATCGACTGTGGCCAACAACCGCAAGATCTTTCAGGGAACCACGCAAAATGTGGCGCTTGGGCATTCGGCAACCAATATTTTCACGTATTCTGTGTGGCTTCACGGAGTGAAGATGGTAGTCACCAGCAATCGCTGGCATGAAGATGTGGCTGAGTTGCCAGCATCCGATCAAGCCTGGCTGCAGCATAATGCCATCGTAGTGAATTGCATTGAGAAGCTTTACGAGGCGTGAAGACGCTGGTTGTCCCAGATCCTTTTTGCTTCTAGGTAAGTACCTTGCTTGGGGGCGACCGCCGTTTCTGCAGCTTATCCGGCTGCGCTGCTGCTAGAGGCGGCGCGAGTCGCAAGAGGTTTCACTTGCTCGATCCAACATGATGCATTGGTCTGGGGAACCGGTTGTGTTGCAAAGCATGTTTCTTGCCTTGGGTGGGAGAATTTGTAATTAACTGTGACCGGGCAGAAGCCTGTAGCCTCTGAAAAAATCGGATGCAGCTGCGTTGTGTGTTGAGGAGGGTGCTCTTGTTTCTGGGTTTGCTGTTACGCCACGGTTTCAGCTTCAAACTAAAGGTAGTCCAAGTCTAGGGTCGCAGACACTTCTACCACTTTCACGCTTGAGCCTGAAGCCATTGCATTTTGCACAGACCCATTCACTGAGTTAGGCAGCAGTTCCTTTCAGCCTTCCACATACCCTCGCTCCATCACTTTTGGGCGTGCGGGTATCTTTGCCAGGCGAAGGAAGACTTGAGCCAAGTTGCGTTTTTGAGTTTTGGTTGGACCTAGAAATGGGACCGGTTTTCATAGCTTGGTTGAGCTTCCCACCCATGGCCCCTCGTGGTATATATAGATTTCTACACATATTATATTATATATATACACATTATGATAGGACCATCTATCACAAGACAGTGCACACTTTTACCGGCCCCCGCCGGAGACTCCAGGCGCGCCAAAAGTTGCTCCAAGGACTCCATGGCAAATTCGACCAATTCGAGCGGAATTCGCGCGGGGACTGGTCGATGGTTTCGTTGGGTGAAGGAAATGAAAGGAACCAGTTCAGACGTGAGTTGAGGTGACTCATGACTCAAAACAGTTGGCCTCTTGGTGCGTGATATCGAGCTCATGAGAGGAGTGCCTTACTGGTCTTCTTCTACCCGGGTTTTGATTGTCCCAGCGATTTGAGGTGGCTCAGAACTAGTTGGCCTCTTGGTGCGTGGTTTTGCCTTCATAAGAATAGTGTGTCGAAATCCCAAAGGCTGTCATTGCTCATTGAGAGGAAGGTGTTGGGGCCTAATAAGCAGATTCCTCGAAGAGGCTTGGGCTCCGATGGTGATTATTCTCTCAAAGCGACTGATTAATTCCACGTGGCCAATACACGGGGGTAGGGTTTACCCTTTTGGTTGGTTTTAAGAGGAACCAGAAGCGAAACCACAAGTTTGTGGGGTACCCCAAAAGAGACAGACCCACAAGTCATGTTGGGCTCAACATGGAGCTTTGCTCGAACCAGGGGCCACAAGCTTGGACACCCGGGAACCTGACTTGAGCCTGGGCTTCGGGCCGCCTGTGCGTCAACACATGGCCGTCCGAGATGGGGTTGACCGTGTCTGCCAGAAATTTGCGGCACAAAACGCCCTTCCAGGCCCGTTTCAAAGTGCTACCGAGTCTTCATCGGGGTTGCAACAAAAATCCAACATGTTGGGACATGGGGAACCCTTTCTTGCAATCCCGTCTGGTGTTGTTGTCTCCCACCTGGACAACGTGGAATAGTTGTTTGGCTACCACTCACTATGGCAACTTGGATTTTGTCTGGCAAAGCTTCTCTGCGTACGGCTCCCTGCACCAGCAGCCTCCTGATGTCCGTCTGAATGGTTCGATGCACAGTTGCTGCATTCAGGTAAGCATGCACCTCCTTCAGATCAGCCAGTTGCTCGCGCAGCAAGTCGGTATCTTGCTTCGACGACGTAGCACTGCAAGCCCACCTGAGGCGATCGTAAAGCAATCGAATCTTCCTGGCTCTTTGATCGCCTGCGGCATCCAATCGTCGATACTTACTTTGATTTCCTTTTCCTGGCATCTGCAATGCTCTGAGATTTGCATGCGAGTTCCTGTTGACCTGCAACGCTGCCTCTGCCTGAGCTCGCTTCACAAGCAAACCGTTTTCAAGGAATTTGTGTAACGTGACCTGCACCTGATCACTCGCATACAATGATAATATGTGACATCCATCAACGGCCCGATACAGACGGGGTTCATAACGAAGCTCCGCATTCAAAAATTGCTGTATCCACACAAGCACGTTTGGGTGTTTCTGTGTCATCTGCAGCCGAACAGATTCTCGCGAAGCCGGTATGGTGATGGTCCCTTCTGCATCGAAAAAGCCGGTCACGTAGGCCCAAGAACATGCCGCATCCTGATAGGAGTCAAGTCCTTTAAGCTTGGATAGAATGTGATTCATCTGCTGCCGAGACAAGGTGGATACTATTTCAAGCTGTGAGTGCTTGACGAAGCTGTGATCAAGAAGTTGAGCAGCTGCCAGTCTTCCCCTATCACCACAAGCTGACCATGTCAAAGCCGGCTGCCGCAAACCTCGCCCTTCGCAGTGCTTGTGAATGCCGCCCCCAAACGTCTCCCGAAATAGCCACAGGATTTCGGCGTTGTTGGCCAATTGTCCCACATGCAAACCCGTTCTGTTGACACATCCATCTCCGTCAAAGAAGCCTGCCAGATATTGCAAGCGCTGAAGCGGCGCAGAACTGACCGCCGGGGCACTGGCAGGTAGTGGAAGGGGATATGATCGACCAAAGGCCTGAAAAGAGGTTGTGCGGGGCCACAGCAGCCTGGATTGGAACGCTTTCAATCTGGAAATCCGCCTTTCTATCTGCTGCAGTGACTTGCCTTGCAGCACGGCCGAGCATGCAGCAGTGCTCTGCAGCCGTGTCCGGATGCTGAAACAAACACAATGGGGAAGTAGCACTCGCCGCATCAGCTTCACAAATCGCAAGGCTGGTGACTTGAGCAATGCGTCCGGCGAATCACTCACAGCCGCAAAAAAAGGATATCATGCTCTCGTGACCCTCTCATCCAATTGCAAAGTGCGGAGTATCTTTCCTCACTAGTCAAATGTCAAGGGCCGCATGCTACAACAAAAGGAAACAGCAGTTCGATTGTAACAAGTCACGCCAAGGAAGCCTATGCCATTGCCTAGCTGTAATGAGGCGGTCTATGTCCCATTTCAATACCTGCTTGCTGCTCGCAGCAAGAACACAATGGGCCCGCAGCAAACTTGTCACTCACACGAAGGCTTGCTCAAATGGCATGATAATTAGACTCATCTGATAGCTTGAACGACTCTTTGTGGATGGGGCATATGGTACCAACTCCAAGAAATAAGCCCAGGTGATATACCCAACAGCCCCGCGACCCCTTGGACCCTTCCGGAACCCTCCTTTGGAGAGTGGTGTGCTCAAGCTGCCAAAGAGGCACAATGAAATCAGGGCTGCTCCACTCTGCAGTTTGTTTCGGCAGAGCCCCCGAAGCTTCTCGCTGGGGAATGCACAAACACTGAGATGAATATTGGCGGTTCTGGCAATAGGAATCGGACCCCTCAAAAACAACTTAAAAGGAAAACAAATAGCTGGAGGGGCTATTACAAACCCGACAACTAAACCAGCTGTTATGTTTGGTGACTTGTTCAAATATCCATTTGGTGGTGACGGACCCAATTTTCAGAAATATTCATCTTTTTTCATTCAGCATTTCAACCTGCCGATCCGATCCCACCTGTTGACGCTGCGCAGCTCCTCTGGATCCGGAGCCTCTGCCTCCGACGCACGGAGTCGACTTTTCAGGGTCTGAGGATGCGTCCTGGGGTTGGTTGACTCATATCCAAGTACTTGAGGAGATCGGGTACTTAGTAAGTGGAATCATTCATAGTGATCATGGTCCCTCAACCCTTGTAGAGTACCCTGCCAGTACGAGTGGAATGTCTCTCATACAGCGCCGTAAGAAACGCTTCTGGGGATGGTCCCAGAACAAACCTCATGCCTGGCTGGCTTGTCCATCCCTTGTTGTTTGGGTATCTTCCATAGCGTTTGGAACACAGTGGAAATCCCAAACCCAAATCCCGAAATCCGACCGCTCAAACTCCGAGTCATTCGACCTGGAAGATTGGGGATTTGGCTCAGATTTGAAAACTAATCAAATCTGTCAGGTGGCTGGATGCAAGGATGAAAAGCCCCGGGAGGTTCTGAGAAAGAGGGAGAAGGGCAGGCCTAAGCTCAACTGACTATTTTTGTTGTGAATCTTATCTTTTCTTGTTTGGCAGACATATCCCAAGAGCTGGTGTGGCCACTGGCAGCCACTGGCAGTGAAGTTCAAAGTTTAAATGTTCCTCCAAGTGACTGCCAGTTCTGATTCTTCGGTGGAAATGAATGGTCAACTAACCCATGGTCGGTTTTGGGTCGTGCGAGGACATGGGAACTGTGTCACATACAGCACAGTTGGGGGGGGGTTGTCAGAATTAGGGGGCTGCTTTTGGTGCTCCTAAAAGGTGGGGCCAGGCGGCACCAGGCACTCCCCAGTTCTCACTTCCCAAGTGGATTAGAAAGTCAGAACTTGTTATTTGCCACAACAACGATCCAAACCCAAAAAAGTCTGAACTTGTGAGTCACCACTAAAATGGTCCAGACCCAAAAAGTGACTAAAGTCCGAAACGGAACTCTGCAAGTCCAGGAAAACAGTTTGGGGTTGTCAAATTCAGAACCGTTTTTGGTACTCCTCCAAGAAAATCCGAAACGGATTCGGCCATACTTTTGACAACTCCCGAGTTGGAACCTGCTGCAAGTGGGTCTTGGCCCTTCACTCATGGAAGCTCGCCTTCAGCGCCTGCACGCCCCTGAGGCACTTGGCGAGCTCCTGCATGTGGCCTGGGTTGGTTCTCGCAAAGCCCAGGAAGTGCCCGCTGTGTCGCGGATTTTTTCCTTGTAGGTTTTTAAAGGCTGATCCATAGGCGTCCTTTTCGGGGAAATAGATGGCCCTGGTAGATGATTAAATCACCAGGTAAACCAGGGCCATCTATTTTGGACCACAACAACCAACAAGGACACCTATGGGCTGATCCACGCGGCCAAAAAGGGCAAATGGATCTATTGGGGTATCCCGACAACATTCTCCTTCTAGTCTTTAAAGGGGTGATTTGCATGGTTGACAAAGGAAAATGGATCCACTGGGTGAAAGACTACTTGAAAGGAGTCCACACAAATCATATGGATGTCCACAAAGTTGGAGGAGCCAGTGAGTAAAGACTAGGGGAATCACCATGCAGCATGGTTTTTTCCTCCGGAACCAGCACACCCAACAGCGCTGTTGAGGCGGGTACCAGAAACTGTTCAAACCACAATCAGACTTGTTCCAAACACCCATGTCACAGGGCATGGGAAATCATGGGCACTGTGAAAATTAAAGCTGAATGAAGCCATTGCAAAGACCAACCTACCCTTGTGGTTGACTCTCAGAGGCCAAAGGAGAAATGGCACAACTGACGACATGATGGACACAAGTTTGCCATGAAGCAGCTGCCAACCAAGGCGCTGTACGTGAAATCAAAAAGTTTCGACCGAGCTCCAAGTTTGCTTCCAGTTCGGTCCCGGCCCAGCGCTCTAGTCTGGGCAACCCCGCCAGTTTCGCCGTCCACAATCACGCTCAGGTGCGAGGAGAAAGCCTGGCCTCCAAGACAGACAGGCAGGCAGGCAGGGAGGGAGGGAGGGAGGGAGGGTGAGCCACAGAACTCACTTCCAATCGAGTGGATTGACCGAAGCCAAAGCCCAGCCATTTGGGTGTCCGCGAATCTCCCACCAACTTCCTGAGTGAACTAACCAAACAAAGTCCAAACTTGCGTCCACCAAAATGGTCTGCCCATGAGAAGTGTAAAGTCCACAAGCCCAGGGAGCGAGTTCCTGTGTCGACTTCCCAAGGTTTACTGGGACCCGCTGGCCCGAGAACCCCTCCCAATCTGAACTTGGGCGTTGGACTTGCTTCGCGGTATCTTTGCCTGTTCGAGCGTGTATTAATCCATGATTGCCCCAAAAGTGGAAGTCCAAAGATCCAACCAAATAGCCATGAAGGCTTTTCCAGTGATGTTTCTTTGGTTGCCTAAGCAAACAACGCGCCTTCTGAGCGCTCTGGAGAGAGGAAGTGCGATGCCAGAGACTTCAGCATGTACCTGCGTGGCGCCAACCACTGACACCCTCCAATAAAAACAATCAGGAATAGATTAATCCTGGCTGCCCGTCACAATGAAAATCAACCAGGAGTTGATTCTTCCTGGGTGCCCGTGACTCCTGAAACATCTTAAACCCCGGCTGCCTGAAGATCCTCAAATTTGAGGTCTGTTGGTACAACCTAATGTGGAAGATATCCATTCACGCACACACATTCACACAAGTGGGGGGAGCTTCAGGCCGCTGCAAACAAGGTGTTGGTTGGGATCACTCCCCCACACAAGTATTCTGCACTTGGACAAGTCCATGGCTGACAACTTGGCCTTGGATGTTCTGACTCCCCAAGTCAGGTAGTGTGTGAACCTGTGGAGAAACCTGGCAAACAAGCGGTTGGCCTGTCAGCCTGTGGCGACTATCTTCAATCGCCATGCACAGGAAGCGTCTCGTCTTTTTTGGAGTACTTGGTTTGGGTGGTTTTAAAGGGACACCAAAATGAGAAACCACCCTTTTGAGGGTTGTCGCCAACAAAGACTAACCCCAGAATTCAGATAGATAGTAGATCCAACAAATGTCAGGTGCAATGCGAGCTTGGACACATTTATTTGTTCTCGACCAAATATATAACTCATAACCAACACTTGGAATCAAAACGGTCTGCCCGACACTGCGTAAATCTAAACGATGTGAAAGAGTGGCCACACCTATTTCTGCACTAGGCGGCTTTTGATTGTGTCCCAATTCGCACCAACCTGCAAAGTGCAAACCTGGCGCCCCCCGTGTGCCCTCAAGCGCACCAGTCAAGCCAAACATACCAAATAAAACGAAGTTGAGATTAGCGTGGGCCCAGCTGCATCGCTTCAACACTCCGGTTTTTACAGAACCGCCGCATGATTGTATTGGCTGTGTGCAGCTATGATTTCCATTGCTGTGACTCGAACTGCAGCGTCGCGTGCCTCTCAAAGGTTGGCACTGGTGAAACCAACATCTCGTTTTGAACTGGACAAATGTATGACCCATTGTCGCATGCAACAAAAAGCACGCTCAGCTGCAAAAGCTGCACCTTCTGTGCAGGGCAGACTGTAGAACATTGGCTGCGCAAAGTGCTTCAAAGCTTCAAATACTTGCAAGGTGGTCAGCGATAGCTGACTGCTTTCGGGATCTGCTATCAAAGTTGAGCTGTGGACTACTGAAACCGGACGTATTCGTTGAGCAGCGCCCGAAACCCGTTGCCTTGTTGGTTCTGCCAACCGGGGCCGCTATGCGCTCCGCAGGACAAGCTTAGAGTCATCTGATGGATGCGCGACATATAGGTGTGTCTGTTTTTTGGGGGAGCCGCCACAATGGCGGGCTTTCCTTTTGGGTTCCCTTTGAATACATCCAACAAGGGTACCCCGCCAAAATATAAACAACTACGCACCCGTATATGTTCTTTTCGCAGAAGAAAGGGCCGCGTTTGGTTGGCGGTCACCTGTCCAAATGGGTGGTTCCCAAAGCCTAGGGACCCTCGAGGTGGTTGACGTCCTGTCAAAACATCCTCGAGCATGGAACCTTTTGAATTTGGGTTCACAAACCCAAAGGGCTCCATCGGAAAGGAACCTTTATCCAAAAGCTTGAAACATCCCTGCTCAAAGTTGCCGAGGGGAGAACTGTTGGAATACAACCACCATACAACCAGTTCATCAAGGGCGGGATGTGCATGCAAATGGCCCTTGGGAGCAGTAGTTTGGGTGGTGGTGGAACCCATTATAGATAACTGACTGGGTGGTGGCCTTAATCGCAGACGACAGAAGGGTTTCAACAGTTTGTATTGCCTACAAAGCAACGCTGTCTGAATCTTTCCGCAAAAAGAAGAGACTTGCAGGTTCCGAAGCAGGGAATGAGAGTTGGAAAACAACAATCCCCATATGGCTGGAAGGGAATCCCCTTCCGGTTCATTCCCCTAATCCTGACTCGGTCATTCCCTATCGCACCAGCCAGTAATAACCTCTAAGAATTGAACTCGGCCAAGGTTCTGGGGAGCTTCTTAGGCTCTTGAGCTCCAACAAGCTGATGCTCCTCATGTCTTTCCCTGCCTCTGAACGCATCTAGGGATCTCCTTGCGAATGGAGCCTTCAATGATTAATGTTGGTCTCCCTATACAACGTAGAATGCCTCTATGTGCAACCCGTATTACAAGTACTCCTGTAAGCCAACAAGGCTTCCAAATGGAAAGTCCAGAACACAAACTAGGTTCTTGCGTAGAGAGGTTACAATAAGGGTACTCTTTTCGCTGTAGCCTATTTTAGTAGGGGAACCCTCCCAACCAAAAAAGGGGTGAGAAAGGCACTGCTGGGGGACCTAGCAAAAAAATCACGCAGGATCCCAAAGCAAGAGCTGCTTCCGGGCGAGCCAAGCCGAACGACTCTCAGTTGAAGTTGGCGCGGCGTTCCCTGGCGCTCGGCAGTGGGTCCATTTCGAGGGGAGTCCGCATGGGAACCTGCCGTTGGTTGGTTTTGACAGGGAAACCAAAAGGACAACTCACCGTTTTGGTGGGGTTACCTTAAAAAACAGACCCACATGTCAAGTCTATGGGCTAACGATTTTGTAGGGCTCTGCAGGAGTAGTATTGATAAATGGGCGTGTGCTTGTTTGAGGAAACCCCTTTTTGGTGTGCTTTCAAAGGGAAGCCAATGGGACAATCCATTTTTGGGGCCATGCCCAAATGGGAAAAAGTGGTCACCTGTACCCTCAAATTATTACCCTCAACAAACAGAAACCCTTCCATGTGCTTCAATCCCCTGGGAGAAAAAAACACATATTTCCAGTATAGTGATGAATTCCCTTTAAACCCAACACGGAAATAACAACAACATTCTTAACCCACTGGAAGCACCCCATGATTCTAGGGCGATAAGACACTTTCATGGGTCGTGAGCCACCTTACACATAGACGGGGATGCAGGATGGTGACGGTCCGCCAAGTGCCCGTATCAGGCACAACGGGCTATATGCCAGCTGTTCTAGCCAGTCGCCAACTGGGCCCAATATCAAAGTTGGAGGTACTTTGACCCCTTGCAACCGCGGGTAGCGACTGATAAATGAATTGAGGACTCGACACGAATTGGGGTCATTAAAGAAACACACAAACCTGGGCTGAGAATCCGGGCTGCCCAAGTAAGCTTCCCGTATATCTCGGGTTGACTTTGACCAATTTCACCCCACGTCTGGTCGTTGGAGGCCCACCTTTCATGATGCGGTTGCTTGGGGAGACAGGGATTTGGGGGGCTCACAGGGCCCCGCTTGGATGTTCAACCTACTTGGCAAGTGGATTATAACCGTGGTTAGAAGCCAGGCAACAGGGGTTTGATTGACCTAAAACCTTGGCTATATCCTGGTAAGTAGGTTGCATGACCTATAACCATGGTTACATCCGACTTGCTGTACGAAATAAATTCAACCACCAAACATGGCGGGCACCTTTTTCGGAGACCCTGCCCAATTCTTTGAGATCTTGATGGTTGCCCCCCGTGATTCGACAGGGGGCGAGGGAATCATCCCGACACAAATCAGCCCAAAGTTTCCTTTTAAGACATCCATTGTTTCTTTTTCCCCACCCCTGCTGGTTTCCCGCTAACCAGAAAGTTGAGAACTGTTCTTTTGCTTCTCCTAGGCCTCTTTTTTGTGAATCCCTCCTGTTGGCGAGTCACTTATCTATGGATCAAAACCCAAACCCCGTACCTGCAGTGAACATCCCAATCCCCACTCAAATAGGTTCCAAAATGGGTGGTGAATTCACCTACCTCAAAAGGTACCATTGGCTTTGAACCATGGCCAGATTTCCTTTGAGACCCATTTGGTGCCTACCTCAAAACGGTACCGTTGGTGTTGACCCAGGGCCACTTCCTCTCGAAACTCGATGCCTCCTCGGGGATCGCGAGGCAGAGGACGAGGAGCGCCGGGAAGAACGCTTCTCACGCTCGTGCCTCGAGGGGTTGACGTCAAGCCGACTAGTAGGCACATCCCCCGAAACGGATTTCGGCTTCCGCCGTGTCCCTGGAGAAACAAAACACCCAAAACGCGCCAAAACGGTACAAGCACTCTGACAAATCGCTGGGTACCTGAATTGTTGACCTGCGGATAGGCAGGGGTAACCCTTCGCCATGCTCCTTTCAGGTGGTAAAGGGTGTCTCTTTTGGTTGCCTGCTACGCGGGTAAACTGATCCTCTGGGTTAGATGGGATTAGCTGGGTCTGATCGATGGAATTTGGGCCCAGCATAGGCCCTTCTGCTCCCCCAAAAGCAAGCCGGGGTATGGTATGGCAGAGACCCTGGGCCCTATAGCCCCAGTTGGAAGGTTAAGAGGGGCTGAACTGGGGCTTGACTGTGGGTGACCCGTAGCCAACTCCCGGACAATGCAAGTTGGGGGCGGGGGGGCACGTCCATACTGGGGTTATATATTTCGTGGTTCTGCAAATATACCTTTCTGCAACATTAACAAGAAGAATATTGATACATCCCAAATGAGGGAAATGGGCCTAACGCTGTCTCAATCTGTCGAAAGTCGAAGATGGACAGTGGAAGCAGGGTTTGTCAGGTCCTGCAAGCATGCTCTAAACGACTACGCGATATGCAGCGCCACTTCAGTCACGCACGTCAGCTGTTTCTTTATGACAGCAATATGTGCTGCTCTTAGGTAGACAACGTCGCTGGTGCAAACACGAATACATGCATGTCAGTACATGGTGCCGGGTACACTTAGCAAATCACCAATCCAAGCCCAGCCTCATGAAGAGCTCGCGAGCTGTCAAATGCCGATTGCCGCCATTGCTGATGTCATCCCCTCTGGTGTCCCCGCCAAAGCGATCCCCCTTGCCGCCTTTGCCCTTGCCGCCGCGATCATCCCGCCGGTCGTCCCTGCGGTCATAGTCACGGCGATCATCACGGCGGTCGTCGCGGCGGTCATCACGTCGGTCGTCACGGCGGTCGTAGCCTCCGCCCCCGCCACCCCCACCACCGCCGCCACCCACAGACACGTTCACAGCTCGCATCTTGCCCTTGCGGTCATCATACTCAGCATCGAAGCTCACCTTATCTCCCTTACCCAGTCCCTTGCATCCGCGCAGAGCGGAGGTGTGGCAGAAGAGATCCTCGCTGCCGTCATCCGGACCTGTCGTACGGCCGTACGTCTGTCTGCCAAACCTGAAACGAACACAAGACTCTCTCTGCAAAGCATGCGTGTATGTGTCAAAACCATGGAGTTCTCGAAATGTGGTTAAACTTTATGTTGGTGCCCTCTATACGCATATCCAAAAAAGGAGCCCTAGGTCCTAGTTTTGACACATAATCGCACAAAGGCACACGCTCACTGACCATCAACCTGATTCAAAGGCTGATTGGCGACCATCGAACCCACCATATTGGATTGGGGAGCTGGTATCCAATCACGAAGTGAGTTGTTCTCGTTTGTTTAAACCAATAGGCTGGGGGTCCATAGTTCATACCAGGGGTTCGCTGGATTCATACATTCAGCCTTTGCTCAGGCGCGCTTACAAGCTCTCGTCCGGCCTATGAAGCCAAAGCCCTTGTCTTCGTTCCAATTCTTCACCACGCCGGACTTGGACATGGAGCAAACCTGGCGCATCTCAATGCCGAGCAGCACAAAAACTCCTCCTTAAGGAGGTCACCTGAAGAGGGCACTTGATCGCCCTTGGGGTCCCGGTCCTTGTTGCTGTCTCTTTCAACGAAAGCTGAAGAAGGGTATCCTCAAAAAGAAGCCCTCTCCACCAGAATTCATTTCTTTGACTATCCCATGCACGTCAACCAACCCTTAAGTCTATCTTGAGATAAGACTTGTTGAAGTTTGGGAACTGCATCGTCGTTGCCTTCTCTGAATCCTCAGCCGACACTTCAAAAGAAAAGTGGCAGACAGGATGGGGCAGCTCCTAGCTTCAAGCGGTCAGGCCAAACGAACTCTGTGGGGTTCCTCTTGCAATCCCCTGTCAAGCATACCTCACCATCTGACAAAAGCTCCCTTTACAGGTACCCTCCCACGGGCTTTGTGTCAGTGGGAGCATTGCAGGCTACACTCAAGAAATTATTCAAAACTCGTGGCCCGGGCAAAACAAATTCGTATAGCATACTCTGACATTTCCAGTCTTGGTCGCTGTGCATCTTCCACAAGGCGACAACGGGGTGATTGGGGAGCGGTTTTTTTTTGGGATCTGCAAAGCAGTGCAACATGCCCAGTGCTTCCAGTTACCACTATGATAGGTGATTGGGGTTCCCTGATGGCTTCCCCTCAATAGTGGTAAGTGGAAGCACTGGGATTGCAAATCAGAAACCCTGCTGCGCGAACATTCCAATGAAGAGCAACCTGTTCTTTTATCCTCCAAGCCTTCTTTTCAACTTGGATCGCAAAGACAAGGAGCGCGTTTCTAACAATGGACTCCCTTTTCGGTTGGTGGTTCAAGGCCCCCATTTTGCGAAACGTCTCAGAGGGCGCCAAGTTCGGCCTGCAGTCAGGTCTGCCCGGATGAGGCGCACGCTGAGCCGAAAAGAAGTGAAACGCAGTCAGATTTGGCATCTCTGACTCCTGGTGTTTTTGATTGTTTATTTGGTTGTTTGCTTGCTTGTTTGCTTGTTTGCTTGATTGATTGATTGGTTGGTTGGTTGGTCGGTTGTGTCCATTGTTTTCAAATTAAGCTTTCTATTCTTGCTAGTCGAGACCACTGGGAATCCCAACGGTCCAAAGGTCGGCCCTGGGCAACTGAGGAACGCAACTAGGAAGCCTGAACTAAGGCCCTACGCACATACATACACCACCTAGGGGACCTTGAATTGGTATGTAAGCACGATCTTAAAATCAAGTTTGCAAACATCAGCATCATATTCAGTCGTGCCAAGATCAACCACCCTATCCCGCAAGACTGTGCAATGTTGTTCAAGGGATCAACCACGACGGTAAGCCGAGCGCTCTTCCGCCCAAGGCAAATGGAGCGACAGAAACCCAGTGCTCTAGCCATTGTGCAGAAGAATATGATAAGCCCTAAAACCAGGACTTACCCTCCAACTCAAATGGGACTTGACTGGAGGTGGCAATAATTCATAATCACCAGTCACCAAGCGCTTTTCAGGTACCACTATAGCATGTGTGCTGCCTTTGGGTTTTAGATGTTGATTCGTCTAGTCACCTACTGCCTGGGAGCACCTAACAATGAAATAAATTTAACTTCGGATTAATAATCTGGAGGACTGTACGAATGGGGGGTGGAAATGACCCTTGATACGGGGTCCTCCAACAAGCAGGGTCCTCCGGGTCAACCCGAAGTCAACATCAAAGCAGATCCCAGGTCTCGTGACCGCCCTCCCAAACCTGACCGGCGGCCTTTTGGCGGCTGCGATTCATAGTGAGGACTTTGGAGTCGGAACAGCTTGAGAATACTCGGGCTCGATGAAAGTGGTTCCTTCGTTGCTCCAAGCGGACAAGATCCTTTAAGCTCAATTGCCATGAGAAAGTTGGGTGGTCCCCCATCGGTGTTCAGCGTTTTAAGCGTAAAAAGGGGGTAGTTGTTTCCTTCTCGGGTAGACGTTTGCAGACTTTGCTTCGGATACTCATGTTTGTTTGCAAAGGGTCTAAGGGTCTAAGGTCAAACCAGGCACCGGTTTGGAGCCCCTGTGGCGCAAGACATGACACACGTAGCGAGAGCTATCAATGGCGACTCTAGATACACGCCAAACGGAATCCCTGAGGGGGAAAGATACAAGCGAAGGCGAGTAGTTGTGAGCCCTAGGGTTCTTTAGGGTTCCTTACGTAGGGATAGGGAGCCTTAGGGAGCCTTAGGGAGTTGTTCCCCCCCCCTGCACACCGATTGGGAATCAATCGTTCGGAAATGGAATCTTAGAGGGTCCGATTCAATGCCCCTTCGGCCTACCTTTCCAGCAGCAAAAAATAACTGTCAGCCCAGGTGATATCCCCAACAGCCTCGCAACCCCCCCTGAACCCTGCGGAACCTTCCCTGAAAGCTGCCCCAAACCACCCCCTAGCTTGTTTGGGCAGAGACCCCAAAGCTTCCAGCTGTTGAGAAACAAGGCACACATCGAAAAGGGCGGCAGATCCGCATTGGGACCAGCAAAGAGCACCGGCGAACCACACGACACAAAGACTGAAAAGCATGGCCAAGCGAAACCGAACCGAACCCTTGAAGCCACTGATCGTGAACCCGGTTCAGACGCCAAAGGAAGGGAACCCTCAAGACCTCTCCTGCAGAACTCGGTGTTTTGGACAGTCTCTCAAGTGGCACTTTTTGTTCTGCCCACTTTGGAGGGCTTTTTGTTAGACCCTGGGGCCATTTTTTGGTTAAACCAATTGGGTGCCAAACATGGCAACGATGTCTATGTCGTTTCTCTTCCAACACCCACCTCCCGGGTCCCAAGTTTCAAACAATTGCCATTTAAGCACCGAGAGACCGGATCTGTTCGAATTGGGATAGATGTCTTTCACCCCTTGTTGGGATCCACTGCAAAGCGGCTTCCTTTCAAAATGGGGGGGCAAGGATCTTGCGGATTGCCTTTTGTATCCTGACCTCGCATGACAAAACATCACTGAGCAACCCATGCGATAGCCGTTGAGGGATCCTGGTCTGATTTGCTTGTCTTAAGAGCACAAATGTTCCCAACAAGTCTAAAATCAGAAACTTGGGAGCGTAAGCCAGCAAGCTCCCACAACTCATCTTCCATCGAGGTCGGCTAAACAACACTCGCCCGGCCTTGGTTCAGCATGGCTGTCTATGGGGATGTATATACTTTGCCCAGACCTGGGAGCCATGCGGAAACCTGGTGCATCGTGCCTCTCAGGCCCTTCCAGAAAGGGCCGGAATCGAATTAGGCCTCGGGCGCAGGTCTGTATGCGAATGATACACTCCACCTTTGCCATTCGACGCTTCTTTGGCCGAGCCCGGGCAACCCGCCAAGGGTTTACCTCTTGACCAGCTAAAACAATCATGAGCTACAATCAAAACCTGGATAGATGAAGGTTAGTAAGGGACAATCCCAACCATAAATTCTTTACATGGTTCTGGGTCGACCATTTTAGTACCAGGTTTTGATTATGACTCACATAGCGTCATCCTTCGAGTGGTTGGTTGTAGTTCTGGGGGCCCCTGTGCAAAAGGGTCAAACCGGGCGCAAGGTGTCCGCCGACGCAAGCCTCACACTCAGCTGCATGCCAACGGCATGCTGTCGCAACTGCCAGTGAAGCTTTCGACTCACCTGACTGGATCTCTTCAATGGAAGGTCCCTATGAATGCGGAACCTGCTTGTTTCGCTTGGGATCGGGGCCAAGCTCATGGAAAAAATATACATTTGAAGAGTCCAGGATCCAGTCCAGATCTTTGCTAGCTCTCAGCCTCGTCACCTGCACTATGGCCAGTGAAGCCCCCCGCCTTTCGGGTGATGGTTCAAGTGACACCAACAGGTTCTGCGATTTTACTCGAACACGACTTTTTTTCGTCGGATGAATTCCGGACTCATCGGAAGTTGTCATTCTTCATCCCTCTGGCGTTTGGTTTGATGCATAAACTCCATTGCCCACTTCGGATCCAGAAATGAAAGACTAACTTTCTGGGGTGACTAAAAACAGATGGGAAACCAAAACGTCAAAAGTCAAAGGGTCAAAAGGCCAGCTTTGGTCGACAATTTTGACACTGAAACCAACAGGTTTCTTTGGGGTTCCCTTCACACGCTGCTAGCGTCTTCTTGTTTGAAGCACAGTTTACCCCACCCTGATTTCTGTGCGTGCGCATCATGCCATTCCCTGACTGTGAACATGTCATGCCGTGACAGCGCCAAGCCCGTCACTTATTTCTCTCCAAAGAACCTGGCATTAAAATAGTCTACCGAGAATTAAGGAATTAACAAGCGGAATGCACCCATTTATCATCTGCCCAGGCTTTGATTGGGGCTCAAGTGAGAATTGTGACACGTCGGGAAAATTATTAGATCATTGGCTTACACTCTCTCTCTCTCTCTCACTGCGTCGCGTAAAGCATGCTATGCCCCCTGCCTCAGGCAAAGTTGTCGCGGCGGGCCCTGCAAGGGAGGAAACTGAAACCCTGAATCAAGCGACTAAATCAGCACAGTGTACAGATTGGTGCAACTGAGTTGCTCCTGTGGTGATCAGGATTGGTCAAACTAGCAAGCAGGAATGGGCAAAGAATCCCCTTGCTGATGGCTCAGCATCTCACGTTAATTCAATGATCCTCAATGAGCACATACTGCACCACCCGTTCAGCACCCTGGCTTCTGATTTGATTCCGCAGCGAATACCAACAAACAATGCCTTCCATGTGGTGCAAAAGTTCGTCAATCTTCAGTAGGGACCAAGAAATGAGCCGTATCATGCGGCTTGCCTTCCAGCAGAGTCTCCATTGTCCCGATAGCAAACATGTTTGCTGTCCAATCCCTGCCATTCACACTCTGACTTGTCTCAACCTAGAAAAAACCGTGCTGCTGGCTTTGTGGTCAAGCACATGTCCCCGAAAAGTGTCAGGTCGAAATCAGAAAAAAAGTTGCCAAAACCAATAGATTGGCCCTTTAAAGAGGCCTTCCCGCCCCACCCAAAATTCGCACGCCCGCGAGTCGCCGATAAAATCGGTGGCCTGGGCGGTGGGGACCGGGAGTTTGAGGAAGAGGAGCGGCGTCGGGAGCCCTTCCTCTCTTGCTCGTGCCTGACGTCACGTCACGTGCCGCGTCGTTTTTTGGGGAATAAAACACGGGCGCCCCTGGTTCGGTGAAGTAAAAAAAGGGAGACCCTTGCTCGTCGTTCTCAGATCCCCCGCGAAAAGCGACTAACGTTTAGCCGGTTAAAGGCGGAAATCCCACCACTAAAGAGCTTAAACGACCAAAAAGCAAAGGAACCGGATGGCTGGGAGCTGCCAAGCTTTTGGGAGTTGGTGCCTCTTTTGTGGTTTTGAAGGGAGACCAAAAGGAACACCTCCTGTTTGGCCGATTTGAGCTCATGTGCCCGATGTTCGTCAAAAGTGCCCTGAACGACGATTGTTGGGGGCTGCTAAAATACCCCAACTTGGAGAAATGTCAACCAAATCCTGGATTCAGTGAAAACCAGAACAAGTTCCGCGGTCTTCAGGGGAGGAGGGGAGGGGGAGGGAGCCCAAACAAGCCTTAAATAAGGTGAGGGCTTAGTTGGGCTTCCCCCCCCTTCGTCCCCCCCAGCCACTATCAGAATACAAGCCGCAAATCAATAAGAGCCTTGCTAGCAAGTGTGGATGGTGCGGGTTCTGAATTTTTCAACTGCACACCTAATTTGGCACCAAATACACTGATGTTAATGCCCTTGAACGGGCCCGGCCTCATAAAGATCTCGCGAGCTGTGAGGTGCTTGTTGCCACCGTTGCTGATGTCGTCACCTCGGGTGTCCCCGCCAAAGCGATCACCCTTGCCGCCTTTGCCCTTGCCACCACGGTCATCCCGGCGGTCGTCCCGGCGGTCGTCCCGGCGGTCGTCGCGGCGGTCATCCCGGCGGTCATCGCGGCGATCGTCACGACGACGATCGTCACGGCGGTCATCGCGGCGATCATCGCGGCGGTCGTCTCGGCGGTCGTAGCCTCCGCCGCCACCACCGCCACCGCCGCCCCCGCCACCGCCGCCACCCACAGACACGTTCACAGCTCGCATCTTGCCCTTGCGGTCATCATACTCAGCATCGAAACTCACCTTATCTCCCTTACCCAGTCCCTTGCATCCGCGCAAAGCGGAGGTGTGGCAGAAGAGATCCTCGCTGCCGTCATCAGGACCTGTCGTACGGCCGTACGTCTGTCTGCCAAACCTGAAACAAACACAAGCAGATTCTCTCGGCAAAGCACACAGCACACGCACTGTTTCACGACACTCAGGGGCTTCCCTTCTGTTGGCATAATGCTGCATGCAGTCTGCGAGCTTTCAGTCTTTGGTCGGTCCTGCCTATGAAGCCAAAGCCCTTGTCCTCGTTCCAATTCTTCACCACGCC